GGAGGGGGCGGGGGCTGCATTGAAGTCGAGCTCCTAGTAAAAGGTCCAAATATGGCACAAATGTGGCATTTTCCGACGTTCGCATGCCCGAGGATCGCTTAACTCGTTTCATCTGGAGCTGGCTGAAATATGCATGATTTTTCTTAACAACCCTTAAAGACAAACACGTTTACCCATCTAGTAAAGTTCTTTTTTTAGGGAAGAAAATTAGCGTGCCAAAACTATGCTGGAATAATGTGGGGGGGGGTTGGCCCGCAGGCCCCCCTGCACCCGCGGAGAGGGGGAGATTCAGAGGGAAGCCAGGCACTGGGCTCCTCGAAGTCCCCGCAGAGCCCGGCAGTGGACACACCCTTGGGGGGGACGGTGGCCGGAAACCCTCCTCTCTAACAGGGCTGGGAGTTACAGATGTTACGTCGAGGGGCAAGGGGAGGAGGCGGGACTGGGGGGCTGCTTGGAGGCTGGATGGGTGGAGAGTTTTGGATTCCACTTTTATTGGTCATTATCAAAACACACACAAAAGGACAACATCAACCAAGCACTTCTTTTGAAAGTGTGAGCAGATTTTAAAAAGATTTTCCCAACTTTCCCAGGGGAATTAGGTAAGAGACGGGTAAACCCCACGCACCCCCATGAGTGTCTGCAGATAGGTCGACGGACCAGGTCTGTGAATCGCAGAGCCCCGCGGGATTTGAAGAGGCCCTTGAGGACTCTGTTCACATTATTCTGGTTGTTGTAGATTTTTTTCTTTGATGTTGTTTTGTGCATAATGGGTTTTGTTTGGAGGAAGGATGATAAATCTGAAGGATCTGTTATGCAGCTTTCTGACAAACTGTTCCAGAATGGAGCTATTAATATAAAAGTCTCTGCCTTTGTTAAATGTCTGTATTCAACCAAATCCTCCATGGCTCTGCCTTTAAACACACCAACCATACGTTGATGCTTGAAAACTTTCTCTTCTTAAAAAAAAAAAAATCCTGATTTTGGAGGGGGAGGTCACCCAGGATGAATTGTATATAAAACTAGGAAAACAAATTACATGGTTAATTTTTAAACATATTGATAACTTCAGGTGGTTAGTATAGTCAATCCATAAATTCTCTCTCCTGTCCTGTTGATTGATATGACAGAAAAGTGTTTGAGGGGCCACGAGGCATTTCTACCACAGAAAGAGTCAACAGAGCAGTAGCTGCTTAACTAACGGCAATAGACTGTGAATTTGTAGATTTCCTTAGGTGTCTTGGGAGAAAAGTGCCACAAAACACCCCAAATTAAAAAAAAAAAAAGGAGTTAAATAATAATTGTTTAGAAAAAGGGGGGGGGACAGGTAATAGAAATGGAACAAGCTAGGATATTTTCACCACTAGTAACCATGACATTTTAGAAAGAGGACATTTCTTTTTTCTCAGTAATTTTGAAAAATCGTTTTACTTTAGTTTTAAAAATGCATCGCTCATATTGACGCCCCTTTTTAGGATGATTAAAGATCATAGCGTCTGCACATCTCCGGGAATGCCCATGACCTTGGAACACCGGAGCCTCGCCGTGACTTCCAGGTCAAAACCAGCCCCGCGCGGGAGGAAGACTGGGGGCCCTTGCTCTTCCCCTCCTCCTGGGTGGTGTGCACATTTTCACCAGCTTGTACCCTTCTAGCCTCTTTTTTCTTACTCTCTCGCCCACACAAGCCTCTTGTTTGTTGCAAGAAGTGAAGGCTGGGGAACAGCGGAGGGGAAGGACGATCCGTGTTCCTTCGGGTTCCCACGTTGACCTGGCCCACCCTCCTGCGCCACCTGAGCCCTGCGCCACCTCCAGGGGAGGCTGTGGCTCTGACTCAAGGTCACTTCTACCACTCGCTCTGCCCGTTTGGGTTGAAGTGGCTGAATCTGGAGCAGAGTGGTAGTTATTTGGCTTGTACCCACAGGCTCAATGCCGTGTGTTTTCATAGCTTTATGACGCACGAGCCCAATTCTGTCATTCCCCGAGCTGTACGTAAGGAATTCCTGGGATCTGTCTGATCTTTGAGGTCTCATGGTTTTAGTGGCTCCCCCAAGTCAGGGTTCACAATCGGCCCTTCAAGGGCCAGACAGGTGACCACAAAGCAACAGTCAAAATGTGCTTCCTATTTTATTGCAAAGGACACCGAAGTTTAGAGGCTGAGTAGGGCAGCTTGTGAGAGGGAGAGCAGGGCTGGGCATCGGGGTGTGCCTGACTCCCGAACTTGAACTCTTAACTGTCTTGTAGCTTCTGGGAAGACAAGTGGCTTCAGAAAGTACTGAGGAGGGAGCCTGTCTTCAGGGAGTGTGCCTGGCACCTCCGCAGCTGGTAGGCCTATGAAATGGGACCAATAATAGTACCTGCCTTATAAAATGGGGGTAAAAATTATATGAGAGAATCCACAGGGGCGCAAGTTCCCTTCAATAAGCGCAAGGTATTGACCTTGTTAATCTTATTTGTGGGGTGTGGCTCTAAGGTGGCTTTCCCAGGAAGCTAATAGAGCTTAAATTTAGAGCTTTTATGTGCACGAACCTCTGAGAGTGCTGGGAGTTTGCTGAGTGCGGGAGAATGTTCTAGGTGGAGGAGAGGAAACCAGGCTGCATTCGGGGTGTGTTTCTAGGTGAGCCTTGCTAATAAATCACTCGAGAGATGCACACAAAAGGGAGCGACAGGAACTTACTGTGATTCACTATGGACCTAGATTTTGCACTTGTCAATTTATAGTCTTTTAAAAAAGAGAGTGTCCCCCCAAATCCGGGTTTGCTGCCGGCAGCTGCCAGCACCTAGAACGACTGGGAAAGCACAGAACTGGGGGAACAGAAATTCATTGTGAAGCAAGGGTAACAGAACCTGTGGAACAAGAAGAGACTAGGACTTCAGAAATCAACCCAGACTGTGCTGTGGGAAACACACGACAGGCGGCACAAGCCCACTACGCTTGAATCGAATGCCTACTCTCTGCCAGTTGCTGGAGAGAATGATGGTTAACCCTCCCCTCCCCT